CCCTGAAAATTGCCAACTCTCTTTGCAGAGTAAATCCCCAAAACTCACCTAGGGCAAGGTTGTTCTAATGGTTCCAAATTCCACTGGGTACTGCCCCCCCAACCCCCCAGCCCCTCCCCATTACGAAACACCACCCTCACTCCACCTTCAGGGCTTCTCAGTGAAAAGCTGCTGTCTTTTTTCACTACTAAAGAAAACTGCCGTCTTCAACAGCTGAGGTGAAAAGAAACGTAGCCATTGATGAGAAAGAATTTATTGATTTTGAACATCCTACCTAGTCTAGATGGCTTGTTTTATCATAGAGTCCATTTATTATTCATTTCACATAAAAGTCAAACTGGGATTTTTTTTTTAAGTGATCTCCCATTTTTAACAGTATGTTTTGTGAATTACAATCAAGCAGAGTGACGGTTCTGCATTTTATTTTTCACGTTTCTCTTTTTTTCATTGTTTCTTTTTGCATTTTTTTCTGTAATTGTAAATATTCCTCTGTGCGTATATAAAAAGTAAGCAGAATACCTTAAGCGGTAATAGAAAAGCTACGGCCTCCACAAGTTATCTGTGATCTGTTTTGATGGAATTCTTGTGATGCACACATACTGCAATTTTCCTATTGGAGAAGGGCGAGCCAGTCAAAGCAAATGCCCTTTCAATTCCATTAGCAGTTGCATCAGTCTCTTAATGGAGAGTAAAATGGCACAAGACCTTTTGCAGTACTTATACAATGAATATGAAAAGGCTTTCACTAAGGCTGCCAAGCTTAGTGGGTGCAAAACGACTTTTAATTGTGTCCCAACTCAGTGTTGGAACATTATGCGCTGTATTCCAGGCTTGTCAATGCTTTCATCAAAAAAATATATTTTCAAAGGATGAACATCATAGAAACGTAATTGGTCTAAATGCCCCAGTATCAAGAAGGGGTATGAAACAGATTCTAGAAAATGTAGTGATAGCTTAACTCAGCTTACTGACAGTGATAGCCTCTGTTACAGTTCTTCCGAATGGACCAAATCTGTGAATAGACACATCTAAGCTGTTTTAGATTGTCTGCTTACCAAAAAACGTCTTCTATAAAAACTGTGTAGGGGTGTCGTCCTTGCGATAGACGTTTCTGGTTCACTAATACCGCTCAGTGCACTTTTCTCTTGTAAACACACTGCAGTAGGAAAGTCTTCAGATCACAAACTTCTAAAAACAGTATTAAAAGAAATTAAAAACAGAGATCCACCCTCGTCGGTGTTTATGCAAATATGCAGGGGGCTTCATAAATCTAAATTTGATACCGCAAGCGTCATTAAGATGAGAATGAGTCTGTCATTTCAGCACTTGCATGCAGTATTAATCACAAAGGTCCTTTTAAACCATGTTGCTGATGGAGATGATGACAAGCTGAAGTTGAGGAATTATGCAAAGGAGGCATCCGTCTTGATCTGATTTCAAAGCAAAGCCCCATAAACCACACAGCTGTTTCATCTGCCTTTCTAGTCACTAAGTCTTCACATTAAAGGGCAGCTTAATTCCCTCTGTGTCTTGATGGAAGACAATGCCAGGTTTCTTAAAGGGTCATTGTTTTAGTTTGCTTCTTCTTCTTTCTTTTTTTTAAAACACACAGTCCAACATCTGCTAGGCCGTGGGTAATGTAAATGAAATTGCTATGGCGCCATAAGCCCATAATTTAGCATGGTTTGCTTTTCAAGCCTTCAACTCTGACTGTGAAGTTCACGGAGAATGTGCAGTGGACTGCTACTCTCCTGCTACCACTTTTTCCTCATTGGTTAACATGGAATCAGAAGGAGAGAGGGTGTCTCAGACCATGTCCTGAGTGAAATTGGATTCAAACTCACATCTCAAATTAGAGACCAGAAACCATTGCACCTCATACTCCGATATAAACCTACCGTGTGCAGCGAAATTGATCACATGAAAAAAAAAAAAGTGTTGTTATGACCTATACATACAGCCTAGGATTTCAAAATGTTCTGACTTGAAAGGTTCGATAGTATATGAAATGTAGCATGCTATTAAAATATTGATTCTTATAATAAAATACAGACAAGTGTCTTTTAGAAGCTCACCATTTGATCTTGACTAGACAAAGATTAAGGGGATGACATATGTTTGCATAATTAAAGTCCTCACAGAGTTGTGTTTCAGATATAAACACTTAAAAGAGCATAACGCTGTGATATATCTCAGTGCAGTTTTTCGAAGAGTTAGGTGGTCAATAGGGTTACTCCCTAGATTTATACTGTGTATGTGCTGATGTAGAGAGACGATTTCATCAAGCTTCCCAAGGCTGTCGCTTCTCCCTCGGTGTGGCATCGAGAATCTGGTATATTTACCACATTTTGAGACAGTTTTTGGCACTTTCTGTTTAGGTAAACCGTTGTTTTTTGTTCAGCGGCTGCTACATCTGTCTTTGTAACAGGCAGTTCAGTGGATTGTGGCACAGCAGCCTTGTAGCAGTTTGTAAAGCACTGCATAGGATGCAGCTTAATGTAGTTCATGGGGTTTTATGTTCTCTTAGTTCATTGTGGGATTATACATTCAAATGCTGCATGACAAATCCTGCTCCTTTGAAGGTTTGGGGAATTTTGTGTTTACTGAGCACTTTGCTTAGCATGTGCTCTGAGATTTAAAAATAATATGAGACAGCTTATTTTCATGTTATAGTTCAGACATGCCTTTAACATGTTGAATCATCAGAAATTGATTCAGGAGTGATCATAAACTGATGACAGAGGAAGTGTTCAGACTCGAGGCTCATCTTTTTGCTTACTGTGGTGGCACCGCTCCCAAAAACCATAATCCACCTGCGCTGCGTACCACATTTTTATGGGTTCGAAGTAAGATCCATTTTCAAACTCTCAGGGTAAGTTGCAAAATAAACAGGAGTAATTAAGGCATTAAAATAAAGATTTGTTCAGATCTCCCATGTGCAGTATTTACGATGTGTGACGGTAGGACAGATTGTTTTTACGAACTGATTTCAGTGAAATATTTCATTTGATTGGTTGGAGATTATATTCAGCTTCGTTAAAATCCTTTTGCAGGCACTAAAAAGTAATGTGCCTACGTTTTGCTTTTTAAAATAATACTTTCTTGTCGTAAACATTTCACTTGCTTCCGCGTTAGATACTTCCTTGTGTTATCGTCTTGATTGTCCCCTCAGCTGCATTCTCCTTTCCTGCTCATTGACATTTCACTGGTACACTGGTGCATGCTGATTACATGAAAGTGCTTCTGCTGGAAAGTGGAGCTCACGGGTGCTGCAGGCTCATACAGTGGAATTAGACCCAAAGGTGAAGTAAAACCAGCCAGTGTTGATAGATAATCCACATTTCTATTAGCCTACTTAGCACTTTTCTAATAGAGCCCATAGTCTAGCCTGGGAAATGAGTGGGCTGCTGTGTTTTTCGTTATTACTAAGTCATGTCAACCATATATTTTTTTTAAAATACTCATACTGTAGCTGATCTTAGGCAATTAGCGTTCACAACTGACTTTGAATGTGGCGATGTCAGGTGATGAGAGGCTTGTGTTTGATTGGATTTGATAAAAGTCTAATCATGGGCCACAAAAAGGAGAAAAAAACCAACCTTCGTCTGCGTCTGATGATTTGCTTTTATGGACTTTACAGCCACATGCTGATGCTATGTAATTGCAGTCAGGAATTAATTAAATTTTGATTGGCCTTCTGAACCAGCATTGTGGACTCTTGTCACTACTGATTCTGCTCCGTCACGTCCATCTGTGTAACTTTGTGTCTAGCTGTCTGTGTGAAGACCGACCTCCTCGTTTGTGTGTCTAAAGATGAAAGTGATGTTCTTGGAAATTATAATATTAAAAAGCCACGCGTATGTGTGTATGTAGGTGCACGTTGCTACTGCATGTGAAAAAAGTCGGGGTTTTTTTCCCTGTTTTTACTTACTTGAAGATTTTTCCTTGCTGTGAACGTCTTTCATGTTTCCTCTGAGCTATATGCAACTAAATGGCTCATTTGCCAGAACTGAATAGGTTGTTTTATGCATAGGGTTGCACACTGAAAAGGGAAAAGCACATAGACAAGGATGCAAATTGCTTGGTCATTAAAGGATCCTTTCAAAAATGATGACTTGAGTCCTTTCAATGAAGCTGTTCCTTGCAGCCAACAGCGCAGATTTTGATCCTTGTGTACATTGTTGAGTAAGCAAAGGTTAAATCATACGCTGGAAATCAGTGTTCATGTGCTGTAAATTTAAACTCATAGGCTTCTAGGCTTCATAAAAATTCATGCTGTCAGTGCAAAAACAACAGGAGCTCCTAAAAAAAAACAACAACACACACAACTCCCGACTTTTTCAATATTCTTCAGGCTCTCTGTAAGGCAAGAAAGACGATACCCATTTGGGGCTCATTGGAGCAAATCAGAATTGTCAGCACTGTGGGTTTTTACCTTTTAAACAGGGAAGATGGATAGATAATCACCACATGCCATTCTGGGGGCCAATTACACAGCTTTGTGTGAAATTGGAAAACCTGTTCTCTCAGAGCTCTAATGGATGTTCTGGTCATTAGTTATTTGAGAGTCTTCTCTGGCTGTAATCAAACATGAAACATTGCGTTAAGCGCCCATAAAAGAACAGCTGCCTCTCTAAGTGACCTTCTGTTTAAGAGAACCCAACTGTCAGCCATGTGGCGTTTTGTGACAATTATTATGTGTATCGCCATAAAAGCAGTTCTTATTTCCTGTTTTTTTGCAGTGGTTGCATCTCATTTTAATGTCTTGCTCTCGGTTGTATTTACCTTTCTGGGTCTGTTAAGTGGCACTGTGCTGTCATAGCTCGCGTATGAGGCAAATGCATAATCTTACCCATCTGCTCTCTCTTTGCAGTCGCGTCGCTTCAGTCTGGGTGTAATTTTAATCAGCAAAATAAATTATTTATTATTTCGATTTTCCCATTATTAGGGTTCCTTAAACTTCTATGCTGATGCCTGTTTTTCTCTCTCCTCCTCTCCAGGTGACCATCTGTCAAGTCAGCAAGCTCCACCTCCTCTGCCACCAGCTCCACCCCCACACCGGCAACACCCCTCCATCACTTCCCTGAGCCGAAGCTCACTGGCCAATCAAAGGAGCCCGAGTCCACCACCCACAGCCGGCCTGGCGGCTGACTTGCAGAGTACGGCGGAATGCGTCCAGCTGCAGGACAGCTGGGTCCTGGGCAGCAATGTGGCCCTGGAGAGCAGGTGAGTGAACCATGGTGACCTACAACAGAACTGAAAGATTCAGGTCCAGATGTTATACTTGATGTATTTTTCACCACTTTACATGCTGCATTTTTCATTTGAAAAGTGAGGGAAGTGGAAGTTGGCATATCTGTGTGCTGCGTGTTGAATTTTAATGCTTTTTTTCTGTCACGTGTTTCATGTGTCCTAAATCTGGTGACCTGTCTCATTAATCCACTGGCCTGTTTGATGTGCTTTTAAGACATCAGCCCATATTTCTAAAACTTACCAGTCACTCAGTCTGTCATTAATGAGCTTTATATTTGTGTTTTTTTATGCTTTCTGCACATCTTTGTGATCATTTTAATGATCTGCACGGACCCATATACACGATCAGCGGTGGAAGAAGGCACTGAATACATGGCAGTCTCAGTAGATGATAGTCTTGTTGGTAGCTTGCATCTTCCCCAAGACAACAGCGGGGACTCCAACAGCCGAGGCCGTGGAACACACTGAGAATTTCACAGCACAGATTTTTAATAGCTGATGATTTTATCGATGTTTTGGTGCCGTTCCTACAAACATGAGATGGTCACTCTATAATTTAAGGATTTCTCGACCAATTTTTAAAGTGATATTACACTAACACATGCTCATGACATAATATAGTTCCCTATATACCAGTTCATCACATTTCTACACTCTGTATGAATCTAAAGGGGTGATTGAAGTCGGAGAGACACAATGAGAAGGAAAATACATGATTAGGGAGAAGTATGTGAATATCTCTGAACTTGACAGTTATAATCAGAGAGGCCATAACTTAACAAGAAACTTGGTAAGCAGAGCGTGTGTTATACCAAAATCTGCTGCGCAAGACACTACTTTGTCATAAGAGCCACTGCCAAGTTTTCGCCCTGAAACATTAGTTACATCTTTCTTAATCAGTGAGCTCAAAATATCCTGGCTAATGAAGTGTGGTACATTGCGCTGTGACTCAGAAATGGCCTGGAGTAGATGATTGCATTCTAGCCTGATATTTCACTGGCACAGCGTCCCCTTTCTGCGGCTCAGATGAATGTAAACTTTGAATTTTGCGTGTGGCAGCATGGGGTAACAATCTCCTATGATCTGACTGAATCAATCGGGATACGCGGTGACAGTCTCACTTTCTTGGGAAGATGCGGTGATTGAATACTAACCGCTCAATGACCTTGAGCTGTCTTAGCTGTATCGACAAAACAATATGTGCACACCTATCATCAGCTGAGGCATAAATCACTATCACCACAGTGGACTCTAAATCAAGTGCTTGTCAGTGGGTGGGAACAGGGGGTTGCCGAGAACCAACTGGGCCAAAAGGGAAGACCCGGTTCAGCACATAATTACAGATGTCAAGAAAACCACCAGGTTGGGAAATGTAAACAGAAGCTCAAGAAAGTATTCATTAGGCAGCCTTCAGGGGGTTTTGGGGCTGCAAAGTCCTGGCACAGCACATAAGAAGGTGGCCCAGAGTACCACAGGGATATGAATCTCTTTTGATTCCTCAACAGTGACTTGAATTTTATTTCTGATGGAGCGTAGTAGACGTGGCCATATGCGCCGGCAATAAATAATTCTGTACAAGGCAGTTGATTAAAAAAGTGTCAAGTATAAATCATAATGTTATGATCTTGTTTAATATATTTCCTGTGACATCAAGACCTCCTTGAAAATAAAGCACTCATTTGACAGCATTAGCTACTTTTACAGCAATTAGCCATAATGAATTTTGTGTGTGTAACCTCCCATAAAAGTGTTGGGCTTCAAAGCACGAGTGCACTAATTTGACTCAATACCAACTAGCTTTCACAATGAATAGCTTTCAGTGTTCTTTAAAATGAGTGAAGTGCTGCACTCAGTAACTACTGCGGTAACTCCGGCTCATTATTATATGGTGAGCGAATATCGCTGATCCCACTGTGATTACGCTGCCAAAGCTGTGTTAAAAATCAGAGTTTGATTTTGCCTCATTTACTCCAGCAGTTTAAACAGATTAAACGTATACATTAAGCAGATAAAGAAAAATTCAAATGAAACAGTCATCAATTTGTTTTACAACTTGAACCCAGCTATAGTTTGTAAAGGAAAAATATTACCATATCCTTTTCAAATAACTGTATAACTGTATAAATGTATTCGAGGTGAGCTTTTGTGCTAGGATCGTGTAATGTAAAGTGCTCAATTAGCTGACAAGTGCATGTTCAGCTTTATATTCGCTGTTATTCTGAAGAGCTAAGGAGACATTCAGATCCTTAAAAAAAGTGTGGAGTCGTTTTAATAAGCCCCCCAGGTTTTCTTCTTACTCATGACTTGGCTTCACTTCTCTGTGTAATATTTTCAATTAGAAATATTCAATTGAATTTCATTGTAAAATGAACTGTCATGTCTCTTAAGAGACTGGTGTACATCTGGAGTAATTATTCTTGAGCAGTGCTTAATCATTTGGGTGATATGGTATCAGTAATGTTGTTGCCTTTATGGTGTAAGCTATAAGCTCTGTGTGTGTTCCACTGTAGAAAAGACATGAAGGTGTCTGCTTTCCTAAATGTCCTTTGGAGGAAGTTTCAACATTTTTTTTTGCACTCCGTTTCAATGAGATTCAAGTAGAAAAGTCGTTATGACATTTGAGGATGATTCCTTTGAAGGCCAGCATAGCCACACGTTTGCAGTTATAAATGTACTGTCAATCCTCATTGGATTCATGCATCATGGGAGTCCTTTGGTGAAATGAAATTATGTCTCTGCTCTAAAATCATCACGTGTCCCTCAGATACTGCATTTTCCTCATGGAAAATGTACTAGAATTGAAAAAGAACCGCAGAAGTAATCCAAGAGGATTTGGTTTATGCGTGCGCGCGCGGAGTTGTTTGTGTGGGACGAACATGTAAATCATGACTCAGACAGTCATGCTTCAGATAACAAAGGAGAAAGGGAACTTTTTTTTTGTTCTGGTACAACAGCCACTGTGTCATGATTGCACCAGAACTGATTAGTCATGTGTAAGACACCAGCCAACTAGCCTTTTGGAAGAGAAAGGAGCACGCAGCGATGGCTGGTTACCTGCCAAAATGGATGGTGGTGTAGACAAAGTGGTAATCCTCAAGACATTTTTTTCTTTTACTGCATGTTTTGCTTTTTATTTATTTTGCCAACATCGTTGGTGCCAAGCACATTTCTGTGGTGTTTCCAGGTTTCTGCATTATTTCCCTCTAGCCTTTATTTTAGACTAGTCTATAAACAACTGCTGCTGGTGCTGCTGGTGGTGGTGCTGCTACTGTTGCTGGCGAAATGTAGTGCATCTTTTTTAAACATGAACAGTGTTACATTATAAGGAAAACTAGATTCATCTAAAACATTCATCTACACATTATAAATGTAACCTTATTGGAAGGAACCACAAATATATCTCAAAACTGGGTTTCATGCAGACTGTCTCAGACATGCTATAAAAACACATCGTTGAATACATAAACACTAAGCTATGAAACCTATTCAGATTCACTAAATACGATAAAATCCATGTGCGTGTCTGGTGGAGTGACTCAAGATGGAACCATGCTGATCAATGGCAAAAAAGTGTGGTGACACAAAAATACATTCACAGTGCAGAGCTAGCTCTAACAGATTAGCACTTGCTTGCACACCCACTGTTGAGAGGTCAGGTGCTAATCTGGAGGAGAGACCATAACTGCAGCAAGTGTGAAAACAAGTCACCGCAATGCCAACTCACATCTGTAGTCTTTTTTTTTTGGCCGTATTTAAAGCAGCCTGATTATTCCAGCTCTCACCTTGAAATGCTAATGCTAATACCGAAAGCGGCTAATGGCCAGATTACATATTCGCAGGGCTTCGATTTACATTGTTTCTAGTGTGCTCTCTCACCCCGACAGCTGGAGGTTAGCCGTAGACAAATCCACCCACTCACTGTTTAGTCTTTTGTCCTCTATGAGGATTTTTTCAAATGTCATCATGATGACAAGCAATGTTGTGAGAGCAGAGGAGACCAGGCTGGCTGCTGCTTTTGTGTTTTCGGGCATCTCAATGGGACAGACAGGCGTGCACACAAACACACTGCGATCACACTGACACACAGCCATTCACTCGCTCTCTATCCCTTTCAGTCTCACACTCTCTTGATTGTCTCTTTTCCCTCTCGCTCACTCACAGCACACCACACTGCTATCACTGGGGCTGGCTGGATTAGCATAGTAATGTGCCTTGTTGCATCACACTGGCTGTAATCAATTACAGCCGGTCATCCAGTGTCTATAGCTGCAGACATTTACACTAGTCTGCTGTTTGTTAATCATGTCCAACAGCATTTCATCTTTAGACCCCTTCAGTCTGCTCTTTAGAGAAAAGTGCGGGCAAACATGAAAACCATCAGCACTAGAATTACTGAAAACGCCAAGTTCAATAAACGTCCGATATAAGAATTAGTCTTGGTAAGGCTGGTGCACACACATTCTAACCACTTTCAGACTGACCCTGCATTCTCAAGTACGAAGCAAAGAGGGATTTAACTGATGCAAGTATACCTGATTTTACCGTTTTAAACCATTAATGAATGTGCCATATGTTCTTGGTAATTATACACTGATTAGCCTCAACACTAAAACCACTGACAGGTGAAGTGAATAACACTGATTATCTCCTTACAATGACATCTGTCAGGGGCTGGATATATTGGGCAGCGAGCGAACAGTTCGTCAAGCCGATGTGTTGGAAGGAGGAAAAATGGGCAAGTCTGAAGATCTCTGAATTTTGACAAGGGCTAATTTGTGATGCCAAGAAAACTGAGTCAGAGCATCTCAAAAACAGCAAGTCTTGTTAGGATTTCTGGCATGTAGTGGTTAGTAACTACCAAAGGTTGTCTATGGAGGCACACGTGGTGAAACTGCTCCAGGGAACCCATAGTGATCGTACAAAAAAAAAGCTATTGTAGTACAAACTGCAGAAAATTGTAATGATGGCTTTGATAGAAAGTTGTCAAAACACACAGTGTGTGTCTACTGTTGAAAGTACCTGCAGTTGGCACCATGGAGTGTGCATGCCTGTTTTTTGCCTAGAGGAGAGATGGCCGCAAGGTTTGTGCTGTGGAAAGAAGAGCCAGTGCTAGTATTCGTGTGGATGTTACTTGGACATTAAAAATGAATCTAAACATTGGTGCAGATGACATGTTCCCCTTCTTGGCAACAGTATTTACTGATGGCAGTGGCCATTATCAGCAGGATAATGCACTCTGTGACACGGTAGAAATTGTTCAGAAGCAGTTTGAGGAACATGACAGAGATTTTGAACTGTCATGTCGGCTCACATCGACTTGACCCGACCTTCAAATTCCCAAGATCTCAATCCGATCAGGCATCTGTGGGTTTTGTTGGAAAAACAAGTCAGATCTATGGAAGCCCCATCTTGCGATTTATAGGACTTAAAGGATCTGCAGCTAAGGTCTTGGTTCCAGTTACCACAAGACATCTTAAGAGGTCTTTTGGAGTCAATGCCTTGACGGATCAGAGGTGTTTTGGCAGCACTAAGGGGGCTTGCATACTGTTAGGCTGCTGGTTTTACTGGTGTGGCAGATCTGTGAAGGTAGATTTGCATTATTCAATCAGTTAATCAACTAAACATTGTAAATATCTATACCATTTTGTTTGATTTGTCTAGTAGTTGCTAAAAACGATACTTTGTGTATTCGTTTTTAGTGTCTAGTAGTAGTAGTAGTCTCTTTCCTGAGAATGAAATAATGTATTCATAGCATTGCCCAAATAAAGGACACACAGATTTACTGCATTTATTTAGAGGAAAATCTGTCTCCAGATCATCTGCCTAACTTGCAATCGTTGTTCACCTTCCTCAGATAGAGTACATAACCCTTCCAGCACACACATACACGTCCATGTCTCTTTCTGTCTACCTCATCAGATTGCATCCACTTACACTTAACTCCCCCGGTAGCCGTGTCTGTTTGCCTGCGTGTCTGACTACACGTCTGCCGCCTCCGACGTTGTGCAATTTTTGACCTCAATTCATACCCAACTGCATATTATAGAGTCTGCCGCAGCTACAGTACAGATTGTTCCAGACTGAGTGGTCTGAACTTCTCTTGGTTGCAGATGCCCGGTGCATTGTCATTCCAGCAGTGAAACCTCATAACCTTTAAATGGAATCCCTGTCTGATCACAATGGCACGTGTCAATTGAAGCATTGAGGAGCCAGACGATACAAATCTGACATTTGTTCTTTTAGTCAAGAATTGATCAGTGGAGGTTTTACCTCAGAGATATGCTCACAGGAGAAACAAGAAACCTGAAATATCAGCGGCACCGCTGAAATACAAGAAGTGCATTGTGGTGATGATGATGTGTGTAAAATCTGTACACCGCTAATCAACTTTGCTTAGAGACTAATATTCAGTCTGGAAAAAGAAGAATGCAGCAAAAGATGAAAGAATAATTTTTAGGGGCATTCAGAGCTTCCCTGAACTATGTAGCCATGTGTTCATATTATATAATCAGCCAAACGTCTGATTATTATTAGTAAGTGTTACGACATGGATTTTCAGTCTTTAAGTGCTCGACTTCAGATTTTTCGCTCAATTAGCCATTCTCAAGCTCTTTAGTACAGAATCACAGTCAGGATTAAAACAGCCTTTACAAAACTTACATTTGAGACTTCACAGATGCTGCACAAATAATTGATGAGCAAACACGGGTTTATCGGTTTATTGGTGTGTTTAAATTAGTGGTTACCGTGGCAACCAACTCCTCCGGGAGAATCTACATAACACATTAAACACGACTTGTGGAAAAACATTGTGTAGGACTTTTAGCAGAATGTGAGAATAAGAAAGCAAATCGGTTCTTTCTCTTGGCCTTGGTCTGTGAAATTTGACTAATTTAGCACATTTGTGGTAGTGGTATTTAAATAACTTTTTTTTTGTCTTATGTAAGTCGTCGTTTGCCTGGGGGCCTGCATTTTATCACTATATCAGTTTAGATGTTTGTATTTAATGTATTGTTTTAGAGTTGTCCTCACCTTTTATGCAGTTTCTTTTTTTTCCAGTTGATATTAGGTGGTACAATATGGCTATTTTCAGGTGTAATTTTGTGTGTTACAGGTGTGGGTGACTCATTCATGTATGAGTACAAAGTGTTCGTAAAGAGAAAAATCATAAATGAAGCTGTTAAGTATTTTCTGGAGTGCTAAACTACTCGGGGTGCCTTACATCTAGAGTTTACAATACTGGTGTGAAAAAAACATGTTATCAATTTTCTAACTGTATTCTTCTTTATTTTAACAAAAAACAGGCATTGCAATAAGATTATACAGTTGAGGATTGGAAGAACATTTTCAATGCATGGTCAATCTGTCCAATTTCCCTGGCTGTCCACATAAGCCTGAAGGCATTTAGGTATTAATCTCTAAGTAGTGGCAAGAGTGGCAACAAGGCTTAATTCATTTACTTAAGAGCTTTTCACGTGGGGTTTAAAAGTTAATAGGACGATCACTCCGTAGTGCATTTGATTAAACCCTCTTAATTACCCCAGGTATAATGGGCTATTAGCAAAGGCCCAGTTGTAAAAGGGCAAGTGGGAGATGATTGTTTTTATGAGGTACTTCTTGTTCACCTTTTCCAATGTCAGGATTATACAGGATAGTAGATTATAACCCAGTTCCTCCTGTGGTGTGAGCCATGGGGAGTTGTAGCATTGCTGGGTATATTGAATTTTGATGATTCTTTATGCGTTTAGCTATGTAAGTTTAATTTGCAACTGCATATGACTATTGGAGGCATACCGGACACAAAACCAGTAGCAATCTGGGACATTTTGTCAAAGATAACCACATGATACCTGTGTGAGGTAGAACCACTGACTTAATAATGCTGTTTTTTTTGTTTTTGTTTTTCTGCAGGCACTTTCTTTTTAAAACGGGCACAGGGACGACACCTTTCTTTGGCGCAGCAGCCCCGGGGTACACCATGGCAACGGGGACTGTTTACTCCACACCTGCGCGCCCTTTGCCCAGAAACAGCCTGTCCAGGGGGGCTTTCAAGTTTAAGAAGTCCCCTAAACATTGCTCCTGGAAATGCACCGCCCTGATTGCTGTAGGCATAGCTGTGGTTCTGTCCATCATTCTCTGCTACTGCATAGGTAAGGCTAAGATAAACATAAATTGCATTGTAAAATCAGAAACAGTTTTTCATGATTAATCTCCAAATGCACAGCTCTGTTCACAACTTAATTAGCTTCTCTTTTTTTTTGGTTTGTTAGGTTTTTTTTTGTCAAGAATGTACCTTTTTTCAACAAAAGTTATATATTGCTGTTTAGGTTGAGAATAAAGAGTATAAAAGGAGAAAGAATGAAGGGAAATATACAATTTTAACCCCAGACATGATGCCTTGATCACGATTCTTATATTTTTCCAGTTCAGCCTTAGCTTTAAAAATGCATCATGACTATGTGGCTAATTAAATTATTACACATGTACCTTACCAAATCTATTTTACAATTTCAATGCATGCTTCTTAAAATATGTGTTAAACAGCATATAACTAAACTCTGCTCCTGTCTCTTCACAGACAGACCTTTAAATTGAACTATTTTGTTGTCTGTGTTTAATGTCTGAATTTTGACAGCATCTCTTCAGTGCCCTATTATGTCTCAATTAGTAATGTAATGATAGCTCTTTACAAACAGCCACACAGCAGCGGCACAGGTTGGGTCAGCTGGGAAGACAAAAATAGGACTATGGAAGATCGTGAACATTTGTATCACAGCTTTGGTCTCATTTTCAGTTGTGTTTGTTACCTTATTTAAAACGAATTGAAATTTTAAAAGCTAAAAGAGCCACATGGTATTGGTTTCAAGGAATTTAGTTCTGATGCCTGAACGCCTGAACTTTAACTCAGTTTAAGTGTTTCTTTATGTCACCACCTCGTCTTAATTTCACAATGTATGTTCCCTATAAAATGTGCACGTCTTATCAGTTCAATACTTCCGCTATAGCAGCTTTTTAAATTCGCTTCTCTTCCAAACGTATCCTCCACACACTCGAGTACTCACAATGTTTTGCTGCTGATCCGTTTGGAAAGAGTTCAGCAGGTGAAAATGTAATCTTTAAATTGTTCATATTACCGGCTACTCTGGGCCGAACATCTTCACCGAGGTCTAAAAACAAGATTTCCCCCTCGATTCTCTGATTCTCTGAAATAGCAATTAAGAGCAGATTCAGCCTGAGAATCCTAGCATCCACTGACAATATTTTTTTGGAACCATATATTGTTTATCGTGCACATATTTACACCGTTAGATGCCAACTGTTCTCATATTTGTAAATTTAAAATTAACCAACCATCTAGCCAAACAAAATGAAGTTTACCCCAAGCTTTGGTTAAAAATATTGCCACTGCATAGTTTTTGTTATTTCCTGACATTGCATGTCACCTGATTACATAAAAAGCAATTGTTTGTGTGCCAAGAGCAATGTATGTCTTTCTATTGTAAGGAGAAAAAATAGGACTCTGTCATCTTCATTGACATTTGACAACCTTCAGACAAGCCATTTGGTCAAATGGAACAAATGAGAAGCAAGCTGGCTCGTGTGAATGGAGATGGCATGCCTCTTAATCTCAATGAAGTTTGATCTCTGCCAGGAATATCGCTATTTCACTGCCTTCTCCTTTTTGCAGCAATTGCAGACGTCGCGATATGATTCAGTATCTGACTAAGCTCTCAGTCAGATATGCAGACATGCCATCAGTACACTTTCCAGCAAGACATTCATACTTGTTTCCCTTTGACAGGGGGGTGCGCATCACCCTCGTGCTTCTGATCCCCATCTCACAGGCCGACAGACCTTTCATATCTTCGGGGGTTTCTGTTAAAACGCAGGCATGGAGGGAGGTTCAAATGGCACAGATGGCAACGTCAGAATGGAACAAGTTTGGGAGCTAAACTCTTTTAACAAAGGAAGCAGCTCTAAACTCTTGAAATTTAACCTTGGTCCACGAAGCCTTTGTTGCACTACAACTAAAACTCGTTTATACTGTCAAACAGGAAATGCTTTTATCTCGGTCAGGAAGATAAACTAATGCTCATCTTTTAACCCTCCTTTGGGCATTATTTCCTTCAAGAAGGCTTTTGAATGCTCTGTTGTTGATGTTGTTGCTTTTTTTTATTTATTTATTTTTTACAGCGTGTCAGAGCTGACTTCTTGCTAACCTTTATAATCTTGACCACAGCAATAAAGCCGTTACAGATTCATCTCTCCTCCTGCCCTCCCTTGTCATCCAAGCCCTTAATCTTTACACTGTGCCTTTCTCCCAGAGCGGATATATAAGTATTCATCCAGCTCGGAGGCAGGGGAAATGTGACACAGTTGTATAAGGAGAAATATGGCGATGTTGGGAAGATCCTATATCTAGTGTTTTATTGCTAAATAGAGAGGGAAGTGCTCTAGGAGGAGAGGTCATAAATGTGCTATATCAATATCAATATTCATAATCCCTTTATTGACTTAACTGTTTAGTTACTTGGTTGCGGTTCGTGATCTTGTATCATAAAATTAAAATGAATGTCTACATAAATATTTTACCTTTGCTCCTCCGTGGAAAGGAATCAGTTGCTATTTTTGTTTGTCTGTTATAAGCGTGTGCTCATAACAGATCTGCAGAGTTTACTCAGGAAGAATGTGCAGAAACTGTCATTTGTTCAGCTGTTGTTACTAACAGTTCTAGCAGATTGGATTCATTTACAACATTTTCATCCCAACAATCGCCAACTCGTTTAATTGTAGACCTGTCGAATGCTTGGGAATTGTATTTTTGGCCCGACTCCAGAGTGTGCGCCTCGTCTCGCTCGGTGCAGAAATGCGAGCGAGCGAGGTGTGCACGCATGCGAGGGAGCGTGAGTTAAACAGATGCAGCCCTCTGCCACTTGCCTCAGGTGTCTGAGAGTGTTTCCACCACTTCCTCTCTCTTTCATCCACCGCCAATTTACCTGCCAGGTGCAATGACTCAAATAGCGACAATGTGCACTCATACTTTAATACTTTTCCGCTGTCAGTTCACACAGTCCCATTGGTACAAAGACAAGTTCAAAGACAAATGCGAGCACACCTTCATCTGCAGCATGTGAAATAGACCGTGTTTCCTGCACCGTATTATTCAATATCTTTTTTGTTCTGAAACCGAGGTTAAGATTTTATTAGCAATGATTTTTTTTTTGGAAAAAAGTATAGTTTAGATAAATTGTTTGGGTTATTATTTTTTTTATTGAATACATTTGAAGACTTAAATCCTCACCAGCAGAACGGTAACAAAAATCAGACCCTGGCTGACCGACAACAGCAGCTCCTGCAATTCAAATGAGGCAAACCTGCTGAGGTGAAGCTTTCGTGTTCCAGCTCTGCAAACTGGCCTGATTGGAAGAATTTCAGCGATTGTTCAGATATGGGGAGGCCAATCAGGACCGAGTACAGGTTTAATGCTCTGATTGAATGCAGGGGGAGAAAACCGTGTGGATTTTAGGAATGGACTTAAAACTCAACTGCATAAACAAAGCATGTCCTCACTGATTATACAGTTGAAATTAAATGAAGATAAAAGACTTCCCCTATTTTGCATTTGTGTTTCAATGTCAGAAAACTGTAGAAAATATATTAATAATGTCTAAAAACGAACCATCCACTGTTTTGTGGACCTTTTTGCCCCGTGAAAGTGCATCTTATAGATTTCTCATTTGGGATGAAAGTCATTCACTGAAACATTGTGCCGCAAAAAAGAAAAAATAATCAATTTTGCACTATTCATTTTATTTACTCAAAGGTTGCCTCATTAAGGTGATGGCTATCACAACAATATACACGTAGCAGGAACCTTTGGTTTTAACAAGGCTATAAAATCTACCAGAGAAAACTGGATTGAGCAGGTTCCTCCACCCATGAAAAAAGCCGAGTACTGTGTTGATGTGCCAATCAAGTGCAGAAACTTCCCAAGACACCGAGCTTTCTTAAATTGCTACTGGACCAAAAAAGCAAACCGTGTGTTGGTTGATGTTGTGGTAGAGAAAATTGTTAAGCCATTTGAGTGTGATGGAGACACTACACCAGAGAACAGGAACATCTTAGGTGTACTCTAAGCTGTAGAGCTTATTTCACAGAATCCCCTGGGGAGATTTCTAGAAAGATGGTATGAAGCAGGTTCAACCATCAAACAGCTGTAACTCAATAATTTTGAGGCTGTTGAGTTACAAGTTGTTGCCGGTGTTCTGTCACTCCAGATAAGCTCTCTTTCTCTCAGGTAAACTCGCTAAAGATTTTTGGGGATATTAGGCGTTAGAAAAGCTTCACCTGTTCTGACTGCTTTGTGAATCCTGTAAAACAGTAGTTTGCCTATTTTATTTATTTACCTATAAATAACAGAAACATATTTCATTTGGCACTCTGTTTGTCTGGTAACGACACTAACAAGAACCGTGTGAACAAGGTGTGGGAATTTGCTCTGAGAGTAGCCAGGGGAGTATTGGATGTGTATATCAGAGCTCAAACTAACTGTGCCGTTATGGGTGCATGTCTGATGCAGGGGCGTTAACACCTTTCTTATATCACCACTCTGAAGACCGATGAGCGT